TGCCTTACATGTTGTGAATAGTTTTTGGCTATTTGTTTTTACGACCGGTCGCCTGCCTGACATCAACCCTCTTTTGGGAATCAACATTAATCAGTGATGTCTAAATACTCTTAGAAAGTACATATGATTCGGAAAAAATTGGTACTTGCCCGGGCCAGGATCGAACCCGATCCCTCGGCGACGAGAGGCCGAGAGGCGGGCCCTTTAACCACTGAGCCACCACTGACTCAATTTAAAATTTTCTTTTATATATGTATGTATATATACAATATATATAATGTAAGCTTAGTCTAAATTTGCCTCATCATACTACATACGACGCTTTGCCCGTTTCTCATACAATTATCTATTAACACTATAATATGCGGAGATTTATGTTAGTAAAACTGCTAACGCCGCGTATCTAAGTATTCAGAAATGTTGGGAACATTTAAACTTGTGTTAGTTTAAATGTTCTTTTGTGAATAAACGATTTATTATGAACTAGAAGACCTGGCGAACTTCGTATCGCCCTATAATCAAGAAATATCTATTACGTTTTTTTATGTATATTTTTGGAGTTTACCTATTAAAGCCATAAATCTCCGTGTTTTGAAGTGCGACAGAATGATTGACATATTAGTTAGTTGTCAAATCTAATGTCAAAAAATACGTTTGTATGGGAAATAGAAAAGGGCTGTTTTTATGGTTTTCCCAGTAAAGAATCAATTTTTTTCAGCTTTTATACCTTTGGAGGTTCACTCCACGAACATTTCAAGACTAAGATAAGATAAATCCTTTCAGCTGTTCTCGAGTTTTAGCGAGACTAAGGAACAGCAATCCATTTTTATATATATAGAAGATATACTCGTAAGACGAATTGAAATTCTTTGTTTCATAAACAAACAGATAGTTGAGAATTAATGAGAAAAACTTATTATAGCTTTGCATTCAAGTTGGAACAAAATTAAAACCGGAAAATTAAGTGATTCTATAAAGGTTACTAGAATGGGTTCGCAATATGATTTACGCTGCGTGATTTGCCCTTTCATACAAATAATATTTAAAGTTAGTTTAATAAAAAATATATTGTGATGGAAATCCTTTATTTATTTTTAATGAATTTTATTTTATGTTACAAATACTTTTATATTTAATTAATATTTGATTTTAATGTCAAACATCATATAAAAATGAGAAATAATATAAATATTCTATCAAAATTAATAGTTTTAAATTTAATATGTGGTTCAGGATTCATTTTACAAGACCTCTCGTTTGAGCTTACAACGATATTCGTATACTGGCAAATTGGTTAAATAGCCTAGAATTTCCAAAAAGCAATTTAGATAATAATACACGAGTTTCTCTCAAGTCGTGTGTGGACTGTTATCAATTTTCTCGAGCCAGAACCATCGTATAGAGTTAACCAATAAACGACGAGGTATCTTTAACACTGGCCATTATATAGTTAGAATATTCAGGTATTATTTTATATGTATAATGTAGTATTAAGTCAGTGGTGGCCTAGTTGTTAAAAAACCCGCCTTTCGGGTGCGGGTTCGATCCTGGCAAGTACCAATGTGATTTTTATGAAACATATGTACTTTCTAAGAGTATTTAGACGCCACTCACAGACGGTGAAGAAAAACATCGTGAGGAAACCTGGACTTATAATTTCACAATTATAAGTTTGAAATCTCCAACTAGTCTTGAGCAAGCGTGGTGATTAATGCTCAAACCTTTTCCATGTGAGAAAGAGGGCTTTGCTGATGACATAAATAAAATACAAAAGTTCTTATAATGTGGTTAGCATATAACATTAAGTGTTTTCGGTAAATGAACTAGTGGATCATGAATATTTAATGACGCCGTTTGTTTATAGATTATCAAGATTAAGATATTGTTAACTCGTTAAAAATATTTAACAGCTCAATAACTTTATTTATTCGTATAAAACTCATGCACGCTTTCTTTCTGTTTATATTTACGTAAATATAATCTAACTTTAAGGGTGAATAACTTTCTTAATTGTAACACTTGATGTATTAAATGGGTAAAAACGAATTATGAATAAGACTAACGGTGTAATATCACGCAATTATTTGTTTGCTGTTATATTTATAATATACTTATTATTATGTTTAAGGTTATTTTATATTAATACAATTTAAGCGATTAATATGCTATTTGTTTTGACCATACAAAGTAAAATAACTATCGTCACATAAACTGTCGAAATTACGTCAAAATAAAAATGTTATATAGATTTCGAGTTTATTTTAACCTTTTACCTATCAACCCTCGTTGAAAAAGCGTGATAGGTTAACTTCAGAATTCTTTTCACATTTCTAAAAAACCTCTCGACACTTGGAGGTGTAACAGGGGTTTTATGGATTAATTCTTTCTAAAATATTATCAAACTTTTAGTTTTATATAACATAATATATAAATTAGGTTTTTTCTCGCTTTTTTTGTTCTGGAAATTTCTAATATTATCTTAATAGGTATTTGGCATTTGATTTAATAATACGGCAATACTTAATTTAGTGTCTAAAAGTTATAGTGCTTTATATAAGTCCAGTGTTTTCGTGATACCCAAAGTGTAGTTTATAGATATAGTCACTGTTTATATTATTTATATAAAAGCATTTACATTATGTGAATGAATTTTAATATAACAAAAATATTTTAATATTAAATGAATTTTAATATATCAAAAACATATTCAATAAAAACAATCGTAAAACACTAATGTATCTAGCTTTTACAATATGAATACTGTGTTTGAAAGAAACTTCTGAAATTCTAATATTAGAAGTGTTATCAAAATATGAGGCGTAGGACGAATGAAATATGTAATTGACAGTTGACAGCTCCTAGCGTTCCTGTAAAAACATCGAACGACTGTCAATGTCACTATCCCTTTGACAACAAATTGTCACATAGATAAAAAATATACTAAAACATTTTTTAAGTAACATCGGCTGTATAATCTGTGTAAAATTTCACGCATAAAAGCTAAATCTTAAAGTTTTTTTAATAAAAGGAGGTACTGAGTTATGTAAAACATTTATTAAACAGATTAATCTGTTTTAATATAAAGAAAAATGGTTATATTTATTTTATTCAGCACAGTAAAAGTTGTTTTAATTGGGGTCGTTACACAAACGTGTGCATATTATTAATTGCTCAAAAATTTTAACCAGTACTAGAGATTTCATTGAAAGGAATTTGCATATTTAAGAACTTGTATTATTATAATTTTGATGATGACGAAAAGATTCTTATTATTGAAAAAAAATCCCGACATAGAACCTTTTCTCAACACATTTTTTTTTGTGTATTAATGAGATATAGTTTTATGTTAATGCTGTTTGTTTCGTTTTGAGCTCTTGAGTACAATTTTAACGATGTTATTTATTTCGTAGCTCCATAAACGAATATATGTAATCATAAAAATGTTATTCTGTCATTCGTTTTACGGGTACATATTACATTTGGGATTGTAAAGAGATTTCCTTTTGTTGTTTGTCTCTTCATTAAATCGTGAATAAATGTTTCTAACGTACGAACGAAATGTTAAAGCTCAACCCACGCTATGTTTATTAAATATATGCAGGTCGAAAATTTGCATATAAATCGTATTTTTTTATTAAACTTTAATTGCAAACATTTATAAAAACAATCATTTCGCTTAAACGTGCGGTGTACTTAATAAATGTATTGTTTCGACGTTTCTAGAAGGTTTAGATTTTTAACATATGAAACAGAAACTATGAAGCAATTTCATATTATTTCAAAATCTTATTGAGACTTCAGTTTTATATTAATTTTAATATCAACTTTCTATAAAGGAGTGTAGTCATATATATAAATCCCCGTTTTAAAAATTGCTATAGTATTGATGATAACTTTGTATGGGACGGTACACGCTTCGTAACGTAACGCGTAACGGCGTCACTTAGTTTGCTATCTCGTTCTTTCATGTATAAGGCATCAGTATTACACTCGTACGTCAAACTATTTTAAGTTTTTTTATAAACAGATTTTCAGTTTAATAGGTATCAAATTTAGGTAATAACCTTAACTTTCTATTAGTTACACAATTTCTATATTAAATAGTTTAAGTTTTCACTTACGTCGAGCGTCCCGAGACGCACTTTATTTTGATTTACTTTATTCATATTTTATTGTTCTTCGAGGCTAAGATATTCGTTGTGTAAAAAAATAAAGTTTTATTTCTCGTATAAAAATTGGTAATATAATAACAATATATTAAATAAGGAATGTATAAAAACAAAATAATAAATTTCGGCTCGAATCATTGCGTCATAGAAAACAAAATAAGAATAAAAATTCTATTGAATAAGCAATGAGATAACATTTTAAATATATTATATATATAAATGATTTTATTTCTTTTCTTGTACGTATGACTTATAAACTGTCAAAAATGAAAGAAGAATACTTTTTCTTTAGGTAGTGGCGTTTCCTTATAGATTTCGTCAAAAGAAGAATATATTAATTCTACTAAACTTTTCAAACTTATATTTGATATTTCAATCTATAGTATTGTCTAATGAAATTATATATTCATAACTCAAAAGAATATATCGATCGGCCACACTGAATTTGTTACAATAGCAAGTTTTTTTTACAATTTTCTTTTTAATACTGGCAGTGATTAATTTACATTATAATAGCGTAGTGTTAAGGCAATAATGATGTCAAGGTAACTTGTAATATCAGTGACGTAGTTATTTTACAATTTTTACATTAATTCAGCTAGCTTTATAATAGTGAAGTTTTGTACAGTCTTCATTTTCATTTCACGTAAAGTGTAAAGTCGTAATATTGTTAGTAATTTTGTGATATTTATTTGGTAGTTTTGAGCTAGCTGTGAGGTATATTTAAAGGCTTTTCGTTGATGAAGGCTGTGTTTTAGTGCTGGTGGTAGTGGCGCCGGGCGCGGGCGGGGCGGGCCCGCGAAATGAGCGGCGCCGCCCGCCCCGCCCGAAATGCAACGATTGCGGACTACCTTCAAACGATCACGGACGCCAACGCCTCAAGATATGAAGACCCAGAGCAGCCTCGAGGTACCTAAACAGGTGGGTTGGAAAAGCTTTTCATAAAGATTATACATCTTAAATATATAATTCTTCTGTGAGTGTGTATGTCACTGAACTTCTCTCAAACGACTGGACCGATTTTGATGATTTTTTGTGTATTTTCAAGGGGATCTGGGAATGGTTTAGATTCACAATTTCGTCCGCTGGACAATGTTTTTTTAATTTATTTTTAATTTATTAGTAGTTGTTGATACAAACGTTTTTTTTGACATTAGATTTGACAACTAACTAATATGTCAATCATTCTGTCGCACTTCAAAACACGGAGATTTATGGTTTTAATAGGTAAACTCCAAAAATATGAATAACAAAAACGTAACAGATTTTTCTTGAATATAGGGCGATACGAAGTTCGCCGGGTCTTCTAGTGTATATATAAATCATCAGGATACTATGGATACTATCGTAGGAGAAATTCTGATTAGTTTCATTCCTTATATAAATTGTGGAAGGATATTATATATATATATTAAGGAACTTCGTTCGGATTTTTAAAAATAAAAAAACAGTAAGACATTTGACAATTTGACTATGCGATATTAATTAAAATGAACAAATATAAAAGGTAAATAAAGGAATGAAATGATAACCTGCCAACTCCAGTTAAACAACAATTAAAGTACTTACAGAGTAATATCCTTAAAATAGCCTTAGACTAATTGCTAAACCAATATTAATAGTCGAAAACCCATGAGCGATGTTGCCTCGACGACGTACCACCAGAAAAGTGCAGATGTTTCTTTTTGCGCACTGCTTCTATTTTGTTTCTTTTCCAAGGAGTTCCTAACTCGGCTTCTATTTTGTTTCTTGACCAAGGAGTTTCCTAACTCGGCCTCTCCTGACTCTTGGTCGTCCTCGGCCACATTCTCTCTGTTTTTCAGTAGTAGCCTCGCCTACTGCGCCACCTTCCCGATCTTCGTCTTCAAGGTTTGGCATAGACGATCCGGCCGAAGCACCTTTAACATTGTCATCCTGAATTTTGAAATAACATCACCATTACTATCGGAAACATTATTGTTTGCATGAGTGTAGTGTCCAAATGGTTTTCAAATAAACAAAGTAATGTAAGCTAAACGGCATCCAAGACGGATAAAGTGAAAATAAAGAAAAAGGTGTGAAATCGACGGTATCCCAACAATTTCACATCCCCACAGTACATTACCATTGTCGGGTGACTCACGCCTTTGAAGGGCTACCAACACCATAGAAGTGCAGCTCATGCCAATGCGACTCACGCAATCGGCAACTTCCATCACTGGCGGCTCCCGTCAGTGGCGACTCCCGTCAGTGGCGACCAACGCTGATGGCGGCTGATGCAACTGAGGACAAACGTTAAGGGCGACTAACGCCCGTGCGACTAACGCACATGACGACACACGTCAAAGGCGACTAACGCCAAGGCGACAAACGCCTATGCGACTAACGCAACTGACGACACACGTCAAAGGCGACTAACGCCAAGGCGACAAACGCCTATGCGACTAACGCAACTGACGACACACGTCAAAGGCGACTAACGCCAAGGCGACAAACGCCAATGCGACTAACGCAACTGACGACACACGTCAAAGGCGACTAACGCCAAGGCGACAAACGCCTATGCGACTAACGCAAACTGACGACACACGTCAAAGGCGACTAACGCCAAGGCGACAAACGCCAATGCGACTAACGCAAACTGACGACACACGTCAAAGGCGACTAACGCCAAGGCGACAAACGCCAGTGGTGATGAGTAGACTTGCGTCTTGAACTCCCACCCGGCAGCCGGTCAATGAGACGCCTGCGGTGTCTCGAACCTCCACCAGCTGCAGGCCAGCGGGATGTCCCCGTCTGAGAACAGTCGTTAAAAGAAAATGAGCAAAGTGACAAAACAGTTCAAAAATTTCACCATCGAATACTATAGCACCAGTATCTGGGCACCATTCTAAATTCCATGGCATCACACGTTGAGTGGTTGGTTGAGCTGATTTAAGAGCATTACATTACATTGGATTACAATTTTAAACTGGATGCCAACTAGATTGTGGTGGAAATATTTTAAGGCCCTGACCTTATTTCACTATTGTAATTAATCTCTATTTCATGTACCGCGATCATACACGAATGCGGGATTACGCGCCCCAATACGAAAAATATGTCGTACTCATAACGAATTTTCTCAGGTTGATATTCTACGTCATAACTCTGCCGCGTTTCACAGCAAGTTGCGGGACGTATTATTGAAAAAAGAATAAACCACCTAGCAGTCCTGTTTTTCATTTACATTGACTGGGAATTTAGTTTAGTTTGTTTTAAGTATTGGATATTCTCTGCACATTCGTCATCGCTCCCTTCACATACTAGATTAGGTTTACACATCGCCTTTCAAATTTATTTATTAGTGAGGTACGTGCCCAAGCATCCTCTCATTTTTACTTAGTTATATTTCTTGGTGAGAAATGTTTGAGGACACAGGTATTTTGTCTTTAATATGCTGTATTGTTGTTTATATTTTTTTGTTATACTCCTGTGATCTGTTTTTTTTTTCTCCAATAAACAAAATAAAATAAAAATAAAATTGCAGATGAGTTCATGTAATGATGTAATTGCAGAGCCTCCTCCTTTCTAGCGCTCGGGCTAACCTGACCACCACTTATATGTCTGTCTAAGTTCTCAAATTCGGTATTCAGAAACGAGTATTTTATTTTAATATTGATCGAAAAAAAATAGAATTCTACCTTTACCTTTTTTTTAGCATTAAAATTCAGAAGAAGTACTTTGTTGATATAAACGAGCAAGTCATCAAAATCAATGAATTCCCGAAGCATATCATTAATTGATAATAGGTTTGTAAACAATAGATGAGTTTGTCAAACCATATGGCATCTTTCAGTATTCGTAGCTCCCTCCTGACGCGGACGTAACGAAGCCTGTGTAGCGAATACAGTCGTCCCTGATTCTCATTTCATGAAGTCGCCATATCAGGGCCGGTGACGAAGTTATGTCATCCTAAAAAAATCAATTTAATGGTCAATAAATGAAAACGGATATCTTTTCTTCTCTGTATTGCGAATAAGTGCTCGAAAATCTTTTTCGTCACTGAAATTATTGAGCTGGCATATTGGGATCGAGATTCCCTAATGATGCCTTTTTCTAAGAGATCTTTCATTATTTCGCTAACTTGTACTATCTTCCCGTAAAAATAAATTGTATGGGCGATAAGTTATTGGAATTGAACTAGTAAGTTTGATGTTCATCTCACCTATACTGTACTGTAGTGGCAGCGGTACACGAGGAAATCCGAGAAAAGTGACAATACAAACATTGATGATTGCAGATTACTACCTGGCAGAGGGATTTTAATAAAGAGTTTTCGATGGCTGGTACTTGATTAATCTGACTGATCCCCGTGAGTGATATACTGTTGTTGTTACTCTTACATACATTACTCCAACACGATTCAAAACATCTGTCGTTATTCATGCAGGCTGACGGTACTACTACTAGATCTTAAAATGAAATATTGCTGAACTCAATAGTTACTGTATTGTGAGGAAAGGCAAAGGTTTCGTATTCATTAAAGTCTCGTAATGTACGTCATGTACTTGGATTGGTAATAAAGTAATTTAAAAAGGTCAGAAGAAACCAGTGATATGTTGTGATCACCAATATTGATAAATATGTTAATCGGTATGCACTATCAACTGCAGGAACCACATCGATATTTCTCACCAGCTTCGGTTAACATATACTTACATTTTGGTAGTTAGTTAATCTTGACCTATTCTTGACAAAACATGCGTCTTCACAGTGTCCTGTACTTTTAATAAATGCGCGTATTAAGACGACTTAGCAGCGGGAGTATAATTTTATTCTGAAAGTTGTTAATGTTGGTTTGTTTATTATTACAATTCGAAGTTCTGCAGATAAATCCTTAACCAATCGTAAACGTTATAATGTACGTCTCACATTCCCAGCGCATGTCGTGTTCATACATGCAAACGAAATGTTAACGGAGTCCAACTTCTGAGGACAGAGAGGTCTTAAATGAGTTTTAAAAATATCCATGTACGGCCATTTGTGACCTATGAATTTAGTTATGTTTTGGCGTCGCCTTTTAAATAAGATGCTTCCCGGGAAAAACACTCATGATCTTCCACTGTCCACTATCATTGCGCGATCTACCTCTAGACACAATAAATCAATCAGAAGAATCAAAAATTGACACGTAATAATGAAGCGATTTTATGAGTGCGAGATTCTTAAGGGCTTCTGTCATAATGGTAAAATACGAAACTGACATAGTATCGGGATAGCGAACAGTGGTATCTTGATCGTGAGTCGTAGTCTGAGAGACATCGCTCAAGTTAACTAAACTATTTACGTTTGGTGATTCGTTGCCACTATTAACTATGTGATTGTGACCTATAGACACATTTCTTCAACATTTCCTGATAATTATGTTGTAACTCTACGACACTATTATTAAACTGATCGACAGCTTTGAGTCTTACTAAAATGTTATTCAAATTATCATTCAATGAATCACTGAATCACTTACAAGTAAGTATGATGCGGGTGCGTGTTGAGAAAATTTACTGCTGCTCGACTCGTTTCTCGATCTACGACAACGTACTCGTGCTATGGACACCCTAGGGTATCTATGTGGGCTAGATATCAATCTATTTTTCACATGGCGTAATCTTTTTCTAATTTAGATCGATTACGATTCATTTTATTAGACATAATTGTCAAAAAAGAAAACAAAATACGGTGGACCAAAGAATTTATAAAAAAGAGATCTTTATCCCACTTCTGAATTAAGGAACTTCGTTCGGATTTTTAAAAATAAAATAACAGTAAGACATTTGACAATTTGACTATGCGATATTAATTAAAATGAACAAATATAAAAGGTAAATAAAGGAATGAAATGATAACCTGCCAACTCCAGTTAAACAACAATTAAAGTACTTACAGAGTAATATCCTTAAAAT